TTGAACACAAATTGAATGGCAGCTAAGTGAAAAACAAGTATTATTTTATTTAATTCTAACCACATCCAAGGAACTATGCCTCATAATCTGCATTCTACAGACACAGAAACCAAAGCCCAGAGTGTTTCCCTAATTTTCCCGCCGTCACACAGTAAGTGACAGAGGAGGGATTAGAATCCCATGTGAATGATTTCAAAGACCCCATTTGTTGCCATTCTGTTGTTCATTGTCCCTTCTATCAACAAACACATTCTTGGATCCCACATATCTTTGTCCCTCCATTTAAGTCACAGATGAGGACACTGAACCCCTGAGAGGACAATCTGTGTTAAGTCACTCAGCTCACTAGTGGTAGCACCAGCACCAAATCACAAGCCCTGGTAAATGTCTGGAAACAGATCTCTTGGGGAAAAAAGTATGAGAACAGATTTGGAGAGCTGACATTATCCTACTTCCAGACGTACTGTAAAGGTCCAGTAATCAGGACAGTGCAATATTGGTGAAGCAACAGACAAATGCATCAGTAGAGCAGAATGGAGAGCCCAAAAATAGACCCACATATAGTCAGCTGATATCTGATAAGGCAGCAGAGGCAATCCAATGGAACAAAGATTGTCTTTCCAACAAATGGTGCTGGAACAACAGGACATCCTCTTGAAAGAAAGAAAGAAAGAAAGAAAGAAAGAAGCAAAGGAAGAAAGAAAGAAAGAAACCTAAACACAGACCTTACACCCTTTACGAAAACTTACTCAAAATGATCAGAGACCTAAATTAAAAATCAAAACTATAAAGCTCCTAGAAGATAACACAGGAGAAAACCTTGATGACCTTGGGTGTGGTGATGCCTTTCCAGACACAACACCAAAGGTACAATCCATGAAAGAAATCATTGATGAGTTGCACTTCCTGAAAATTACAAAGTTCTGCTCTGGGAAAGACAATGTGAACGGAATAAGAAGACAAGTCACGTTACCTGTAGAGAATATCTGCCAAAGACACATCTGATAAAGGACTCTTGTCCAAAATAGGCAGAGAGCTCATAAAACTCAACAATTAAAAAACCAACAGTCCAATTAAAAAGTGGGCCAAAGACCTCAATAGACACATCACCAAAGTAGATATACAGATGGCAAAAACACATATGGAAAGATGTTCCACATCACACATCATCAGGGGAGTACAGATTAAAACAATAATGAGATGCCACTACACACCTCGAAGAATGGCCAAAATCCAGAACACTGACAACACCAAATGCTGGCAAAGATGTGGAGCACCAGGAACTCTCATGCACTGCTGGTGGGAACGCAAAACAGCACAGCCACTTGGAAGACAGTTTGGCAGTCTCAGATATAATGAAAGTGTGCGTGAAATAATTTATTTTTTGGTAATGGCTGTGTTTAACAACCACATTGCAAAATTCCTAAAGTTCAACAGCAAGCTTCATAAGCTGAACCAGCTGCTCCAACACAACCACAAGTGGGTCTTGTGATACTTTCTTCTCTGGAATGCTTTGCTTTAAGATCCCAGGAAGGTTGACAATTTCTTCGTGATTTCTCCCTAATAAGTCGTGGAGGTAACAGTCCAACCCTATCCATCAGATTCTACAGCCATGCTGTGCTCCCCTCACCACAGTACCTCGGAAGCAGCAATAAATTTTGCAGCGGAAGTGAAATCAATCTTAGTGAAGAACGAAGAGCAAATGAGGACACTCTGTGGGCAGATGGTGCTAATTACACAGATGGCCACCAGATGGCGAGCATGCCAGCCTCCTCCTCGTGAAACCCACTTGATAGAATTTCAAGAAGGGAAGGACCCCAGAGAACAAACGTTTGGGTCTTCTTATGTGACAGAGAGGGAACTTTTCCTAGCATTTGAGAATATTTGTGTGTACTTCACAAGGAGAGTAGATTGTCATTCCCCTTCTAGTTTTCCATCACACAATAATGCTAATAACTGGGTGTGCATTACAAGCCTTGTACTTGAAGGGCATTCACCCATGTATTCCACCCACAAATTCCAGTGAAGTGTGAGTAACCATTTCTCACTTTTCCAGATGAGAAAACAGCTGTCCCTCAACCCATTTGCTTATTTCATAAATATTTATTGAGCACCTGCTATGATCCTGCCCATAGTAAGTAGCAGAACCAAGATTCAAACTCCAGAAATGTTGCTCTGTATCTCATCTTCTTCCATTATCCCAAATACTAGTACTTTATTAAACAACCCCCTCAAAACAAAGCTGATTGGATTTTACAAATTATCACAGCATGACATGCTACTTTGCCTATTTGATCCGGTTTTCTCACTTGTAGGATTCTTGAAATTCACTCTTACCCACTAGTCTGTAGGATTTCAATTACCTAAACAACAAACAAGTGAAGCTCGACAGCAAAAATGACTACTAATGGACACATTTGATATCACTGAAGTCTTCGCTGCTGTTGACAACGATGCCAGATACAAAAATTTTTAAATAGGGGGGGAGGTAAGTGATGCCAGAGAAAATGTCATTTTATAATGAAGACATAGGATGTGTAAACAGTGTATCCAAAAGATGCACCGTGTTTAAGACAAAGCTCTTACCACAGCCTACAAGATGGCAAGCTATCTGGGCACTCCCCTATCTCTGCAACCACTACTCAAGCGGTACCTCCCTCTTGTTCATCTCACCTCAGGGCCTTTGCACTTGCTCTTCCCTCTGTCAGGAAACTCCTGTCCACACAGTCATATGATGGGCTCCCTCATGTTCCCTGGGTCTCCGTTTTCATCACCTAAACAGAGAGGCTTTCTGGGGTCTGCCTAAAAAATAGTGTCCCTGTTCCCCATCTCTCCTGTGTGACAGATGGAGAACTCTTCATGTGCCTGCTCTCTCTATGGCCTGGCTTTCTTCCTCACTCTGTCGCATTATTCTTTGGAGCACTTGTCATCACCTGTCCTTGTCATCATACACTTTTATTTGTTTTCTATGTCCTGCCACTGAAATGTAAGTTACCTGGGAACAGCAATTTTTGTTTGGGTATTATATTGCCCAGCACCAGCATCAATAAATATATTACAAATGAATCCATGCCTGACATACACTACATGCTCAATAATAAGTCCATGAATAAAAGGAAGATAGATGTCTTTTCCTGAGCTCAGTCACGGAAGCAATGGGATAGATATCTCTGAAACGATAAATGGAATGTTCCTACTGAATCCCAGATACTCAGTCTCTTTATTGCATTTTTTTCCCGATAGATTGAATTGATCCCCCGTAGATACAGTGGTAGCTAAGAAGAGAGACCTCTTAGAAAGCCGACATCTAGGTTCACAGGGAAAGTCATCAATGTGAGCAGGGAGACAGTATGCTGGGGAGCTCTGAGGGTGAGGCCAGTGCACAACAAAGTGAGACGAAGTTAATCTTGGGTCTTCTGACCTGGTGCCTTAAGAAGGCATCATGTGGTCTAAGCTCTTTGGAAATACCGTTGAAATAGCCAAAGATCTCCCATTAACTAGATTGCTGCTGCTGTTGTTGAAAGCCATCCCAGATCCTATTTTGTTTTTACAGTGCCAAGAACATCTACAATTCCTGTTTGCCATCAGTGTTTGAATGTATGAGGAGAAATCCAGTCTATCTATTTAAAAAGTGTTTTCCAAAAACAAAAGATGAAGAACAATAATTTTGCTCACTCAAGTAATTATTTTAGACCCGGAAGAGCCCTTGAAATCATCCAAACAAGTGTTTGTTGTGTTGTGTTGTTCTGGGCCGGTTGGAATTTTCCCCAAAAGAAATCCAGAAGCAGATGGAATGAAGCCTCCTGTGACATGGGACAATGAGCCAGACACAAGTCCTCTAGCCCTCCTGTTCCTTATGAGCCCCCAGGGGAGCCCAAGGCACCCTTCAGAGCATGGTTAAAAACCACTGAGCCAGTGTGGCCTTGTTGCTCCACACACAAGGAAATGAAGCTCATGGAGGCCAGTAATCAGCCCAGGGTGAAGTCACCTCTGACAAGAGCCATGTTTTCCCACTGGCTCCTCCCACAGCCATATAAAACACCATTTAAGACACCACATCCACTCTTACGGATCAGTGAACTTTGCTTTCTCAACTTTGGTTTCTTTGCTTTTTCTGACCCCCCCAGACTAACTTAATTAAATCTCCCATGTGTCCTTTTAATACCATGGCCTTCTTTCTGAAATTCTCAGAGATTTAATAGTGTTTTCAGTCTGCACTCTTTAGGTACAAGCCCTACGGCAACAAGGACAGTGTCTCACCCTCCTCACTGCATCCCCAGATCCCAGACCTTGGCCTGTAAACCGAACAAACATAAGCACCTTGAGGGGAAGGCTGTGCTGTCTTTGTATCCCGCTACCTAGTCCCATGCTTAGCTCAGAGTAGAAGCCCATTAACTGCCTTTGAGTTGAATCCAACCGTGTTAATAAAACTACCTGAGACTCAGGAAATGCCCTCCTGACCTTCATTCAGGCTTTTCTAGGGTTGGGTGGTCTTAAGCAATTGTCCTACCTAGTCTGTCCTTACTTTGGTCTAAAATAAAAGTTGGATTTGGGAGTCTTAGAAAAGCCTTCCATCTGGAAAATTCTGTGATGCTATTTTCCTTTGCTCAGAAATGTCCAGTGAAGCGTGTTTGTTAGAAATGTGAAACAATGATATAACAGTAGAGATATATAAAGATTTTAATTCTAATCACAAATTAGTGGTCAAGAGCCGCACCTTGAGAGCCGTACCGCATGCACTAAAGTCTTCTTTCTACCATTTTCCAGGTGACTAGAGGGTAACTTCCCCAAATCTCAGTTGTCACTTCCAGAACAAAGGCCAGGATCAAATGAAATCACCTAACTAGAATTATTAGGTCCTGGGTACCTAAGATCTCAACAAAACTTACTTGACATTATCACTAAGATTATTCAAATGGAAATGATTTCCATTCAAACATATGCAAAACTAGCTTGATGATATTTTCCATACACTCACTGCTCTCCCTCTTATGTTTCAGGAGACAGACCCACAAAGGGAAACAAGGTAAGAGAAATCATTAAAATGTGTTTGTCACCCACTCTTTATTTTAGAGGGATGTGGACAACGTAAAGACTTAGCACTTGAAAAGTGCATCCCAGATGTTTGGTTGGATTTGTCATTTCTATTTGTAAACCCCAAAATTGTTAACCATTATTTCTGCTCAGAGAACAATAAATTTAATTTCTGATTCTCTTTCCTTCTGCAGACTCCTTTACCACCTCCTCGGTAAGACACCTAAAATAGAAATTGTATTTTGCTACACACTTAACTGATTAGTTCCAGAATTTGAAAAGCTCCAGAATTTAAAAAAGAAAAACATGAACTGTTGATGTGGAGAAACTAAGATAAACTGGCCAGTGAACAAGGTCGAACAAGCCAGCCACTCGATGTACCTTCACTCATCAATCCGTGATGTGTGCCCTGCGTCCTTCCCATCCTCTCCCATTTCTTCCCTCCGTTTAGTACAGAAACCCCCAGACATTACCGGCCCTACGAATTGCCTTCAGGAACTTGCAAGGGATAGGCCTATATTTATATGTGCACATAGATTTTTCTATCTAGTATATATAGAAATACTACTGTTATTCTATTATACATATGCATGAAGGCAAGAGCCATAGCCTTGACTTCACAGGCTCCTGGTGAGTCGGTCACTGCTGTCCTACTCGGGGCCCCGAGAGGACCTCTGTCGCAGAGCGAAATACCCTTGCTGGTAACCTCTCATGGTTTCTCTCTCTGCCACACTGAAGGGAAGTGTCTTGAGCATGGACTATGTCTTTGCTCTCTGCATCCACAGCCTCCACCAATAGTGCCCGAAAGTCTTTATAAATGACTGAATGTCAAAATAAAAGGGTGCGTGAGACATCACTGACTCTCAAACATGTTCCTAATTCTGGGGGGGCATTTAAAGAGCTCGTGTCTTTCTCAGTCTCAGACAGGTGGCATATTGGGAACTCTATGATGCCCTACAGAAAATGGCATCACCCCTTCTGGAAAAGAGAACAAAACCAAAGAGCATGTTGCAGGAAGGGAGCTCTAAGCTCGTTAGGAGAATGACTACCGTACTCTGATAATTGCAGCTACCTAAAAAGGATCAGATCGCTCTGTCAAGCAGCCAGCACCCCAAAATGGACTCCCCACCCAAAGCTGGGGACACGGAGGGGAGGGCTGGCTGAGCAGACTCCTGCCCAGCAAACCTTCTCAGACTCTCACTGCAACTCTTCCCACAGGCCACTTGCCACTCTTCCAAAGAAGTACCAGCCCTTGCCCCCACAGCCGGAGAGTAGCCGGTCGCCCCTCCCTCAGAGGCTCAGCCTCCCCAACGTCCAGAAAGGACCCAGGTGACAGGTTTGGTGTTGTTGCTGGTGAAATGTCCAGGGAGGCTGGTGGGCTCCGGAGGGTGAGGGGGACTTGGGAAGGAGGAGCCAATGATTCCTGGAGGGAAAATACTCTTAGAAAACTGCTCTTTGATTCCTTAACAGAAAGTATACCTTCTTGGGGCGCCTGGGTAGCTCAGTTGGTTGGGTATCTGCTTTCAGTTCAGGTCATGATCTCAGGGTCCTGGGATCGAGTCCAGCATCGGGCTCCCTGCTCAGTGGCGAGCCTGCCTCTCGCTCTTCCTCTGCCTGCTGCTCCCTGTGCTTGCGCTCTCTCTCTCTGTCAAATACATAAATAAACTCGTGAAAGAAAGAAAGAAAGAAAGAAAGAAAGAAAGAAAGAAAGAAAGAAAGAAAGAAAGAAAAGGAAGAAAACACATCTTCTTTGTAATAAAATGAGTTTTTGAAACAAAGGCTCACTTGAGACCTGAATTGTTGTTGAATAAAATGTTAAGTGCCAGAAAGGAATCAGGACTTGTTATGTAAAAACTGAAAGGGGATTCAGGCTATTTGCAGACCAGTACTGTCCCTCAGCTTCTCACCACCCACCCCAGCTGTGGGAATATTACCCCACAGAAAAACCCATTTGTCAGAAACGTTATTGCCATTTTGACAAATAATTAAAAAGCCAAGTCTCTGGCATTAAGCCGACTGACAGAGTCCCACTTCCAAATGTGTGGGGCATCAGGCAGCCAGCAACAATCCCAAATTGTAACAAAGGAGAATAGGAGCTTTTCTTTCCCCAAGAGAGTTTGGATTTGCAAAATTTCCTCACTTTAGAAGTCAGAACAGAGATGAACATTTCTCTCTCGTTCCTGCATGGAATGAATGATGCTTTCCTACTGCAAGCTTGAATCAGCAGGTTGGAGCACAAGGTATCACTTAGTAAGCATTTTTCGTAGATAACAGAAATTCAAAATATCAGGCACATTTTGAGATTCTGTGGAGAACCCAGTCAGCACTGGTTCTGATGGCGAATGCCAATGAGCCTAAAATACCATTTCCACCTTATTTTTCTGGCCGATGTCTCTTGCTCTGTTCATCCTTTGCAGCCCCACACAAACACACCTCCGCCCCTGGAGGAACATCCCTCATTCTCTGCCCAGTGCCATTTCCCTTCATCTGCTGGTTTCTCCACTGGCCTTGCAGTGTGGGAAGGGACGCAAGCCCTCAGGTGTCAATTCCAGCTGCCCCAGTTGAAATTCAGGTGATCTTTCTTATGAAATGGAAGATAGAGGGCAGCAGTTCTCGGCTGGAGGTGACTCTGGCCTCGGGGAAATTGGCAGTATCCAGAGACATATTTTGTTGTGACGGGTCGGGTGGTGGGAATGCTCCTGGCATCTGGTGGGTAGAAGTCAGATATGCCACCAAACACCCTGCAGTGTATGGGCCAGCCCTGTGACAAAGGATAATGAACCCTCCAAGCTCCATAGTGCAGAGGTTGAGGACCTGCTTTAGAGCAAATAACTAATCTTCACCCAGCCCTCGTCTTCCTGGGCTGTAAAGTGAAGATGACAGTAATACCTATCACCTACCTCATGGGTTCATGTGAGAATTACACAAGACAAATCATGATAAGCGTTCAACACTGCCCACCTAGGACATAGCTGTGACCTTGAGCCTGCTCCTGTTGGTGCCTTTGCCCATCTCCCACCCCATATAATTATCTGGATACAAGTCTGTTCCACCCAAAAAGTGGGGACTGACTCATTTCAGTGTGCATAGTTCCCAGCACAGGGTCTGCCTGGCACATAGTACACCTTTGATAAATCTGTATTTCCTTCTGCCATTTCCAGAGGGTCCTAGCCAGACTAGGAGTCACCAAATTTGCTCTATTTTGATTTCTAGTTTCAAAGCACGAGAGACAGGGAGGCAACAACAGCCAACAATAGACCACCAAACCCATGAAGTGATGTCATCAGCATTGGAAACGTGAAATGTATCATCCCGGACCCTACTGACCGAATAGTCTAATACATCCAGAACTGGTCAAAACTCAGACAGCAAAGAGGCAGAACATAGGATGAATAAAACATCAGAGCGGATGAGGTTGTTCGGTATGGAGGAAAAAAAGAGGATCTTCTCTTCCTTCAGTGTCTTTATGCCAGAAAGCACAGGTGTTGGGACACAGCAGAACTGAGTTTGGATCCCAGCTGAGCCACTTCTGGCTACATGATCTCATAAAGCTCTCAAACACTTCTGAGTTTCCATGTTGGTGAGAACAGTGTAATCGTCCCCATGTGACAAGAGTGGCAGTGATCTCTCTAGAGTGCCTAGGAGAGTATCACAGCACAGGAAAGAAAGAGAAACACCTGAACATCATTTCCCATCTCTACCCGACAGAATTAGGCACCCATGACCCTATTTTCTCTCGAAATACAGACTCTATATCCTAGTACAATGTTCCTCATTTTGGCTTTACATTAAAATAATTAGGAAAGCTGTTTTAAAAAGTCCTATTCCCGGGGCACCTGGGTGGCTCAGCGGGTTGAGGCCTCTGCCTTCGGCTCGGGTCGTGGTCCCAGGGTCTTGGGATTGGGCCCCACATTGGGCTCTCTGCTCAGTGGGGAGCCTGCTTCCTCCTCTCTCTCTGCCTGCCTCTCTGCCTACTTGTGATTTCTCTGTCTGTCAAATAAATGAATAAAATCTTAAAAAAAAAAAAAGTCCTATTCCCCAGGATCTGCATTATCACTCAGAGAGGGGAGAAGCAGTCATCACTGTCTTTTAATGCTCCCCCAGGGGCAATCTGATACACAGCCAGGGCTAAGGGCCCAGAGGGAGCCAGGTTCCAGGAATCTATCTGTCAGTAAAGCTTTGATGGTCTTTCAGCCGTTCCTACATATGCTCCAGCTTCCAGGGTCTAAAATAATACTCCTTGATCTGAAAATGAGTTCCTCTGCAGTCTGGATCACTTCAACCTATCATGCAGCCAATGCCATGGTGTTGGAGTCTTTACAAGTTCTGCATCCTCTAGAGTTTCTGCAGCCAGAGCTAAATTTGTTTAATCACTTTTAGATGTGACAAGAACTGGCTGGGTCTCTTCACCATCAACCTCTCCACAGTGTTATGACATCCCATCTCACTGTATCCTTCTAAAAGATGGTTTTCTAAAGGCTCAGTCCTCTAAAGTATGGTTTTTGAAGGCTCACTGGCTGGTTCACAGTAGGTGCCTCATAAAAATCACTTCCTTACCCCTTGGGCACGTAGGTCACTAAGATTCACAGAGGTTAGGTGACTTGGTCAAAGTTACAGGGCTGCTGCAGGACTATGGAGAGGTCAAAAACATGCAGAGCCTGTGTGAGACACTGGGAATATCACCATGAATAAGAAAGAGTTTTGCCGTCAAAGGAGAGCTTCCAAATTCATTTGAGGTGGGTGCCATATTGGGAGTCAGATGGCCATTACTAATGACCCACATGTTGCTTGTCAACAACCCCAGGAGGCTGTGGCAAGGTTCACTTTCTCTGAAAACAGAAGGGACACTGGAGAGCTGAACTGCTCTAGCCCGCACAGGAAGGCTAGTACCCACTCCCTCCTACCAGCTGCTCCATGGGCTCTCGGAGGTGGACGGCCCTCCATCAAGAGAGGCTGCGATTTACATGTGGTAATCCACCGCAGTCATGACGGCAGCTGCAGCCCTTTACAATGGACTCTGCTCTCCTGACAGTGAATGTGGGTCTGCCTATTACTGCAACCATTTGTCTCCGCCATCTCGGCCAGTCTCTACTTGAAAGCGAGGTCTTGGCTTCACAAAACGATTGCTGAATCGAAGCACTTCAGTTCATGAAAATGCCACTTAAATCCTTCACTGACGACTGAAAACTAGAGAACTTCGAAGTCTGGGGAATGTTCGTTGGGCGTTCTCAACCATTCGTGTACCGTTATTATGATTTTTATCATATCCAGGTACTTCATATTTTTGGCTCAGCTCATTTTTTTAAAGTAAGGAAACTTATTTAAAGGGGAACATCATTAGCATAACTACAACACAGACAGTTTCAGACCCAAACTTTGAGCCTGTGGCATTTTTTCTCTCTTGAAAGGGAAGACAAATAAAATGCAAGAGCAATATTTAGATAAAGTGACCACTACATGGAGACTCTCTCTTTGACATAATTAGAAAGAGATTAAAAAGGGAGTAACTTTCCCACTAACCCTTATAATTTTAATACCATCGCACGTGCACCAAATAAAAGCATCCTGAGTAATCATCAGAGTAACGACATTTGGGGAGCTGTTGTTACACAATGGGTCCACTCTGGGGTCTTTCGGTTGCTTGACTTCATGTAGTTCCACAACCACACTGTGCAGAAAACAGTATTACAATCCCCAGTTTTCTGAGTGGGACACAGAAATGCAGAGAGGTCATGAGCCATGACGTCTCCCTGCAGCTTCAGCAAAATCCAACCCCACGCTGCAGGGTTCAGCCAAAATGTAATTTACAGAAGGTACCTGCTATTTAACCAACAGAACACCTGTCTGCCCAGCTACGGTTTTCCCTTTTCAACCAGCAAAGCTGGCACCACCACAGTTCAAGCCATCTCAGGGACAAAAATGTACATTCTGATGATTTGGGAAGTGAAAACAACAACAACAACAACAAAAATCCATGGAGATATTGAGAAACCAGAGTCCTTGAAAGAGAGAGGAAGCATTGATTACCAAGAAGCATACAAATTTGCATGGGAATGGGTACTTACAGGAAATACTGATTTTAGAATGTGACTTTAATTATTATTATTATAGTGCTGCAAGATATCACCATTGGGGAAAACTGGATGAGTGCACACAGGATCCCTCTGTATAAGTTCTTACATGAGCATGAGACCTACAATTATCTCGGAACGAAAGTTTCATTTAAAAGAAAGTGTTTAATGGATGCAGATGGAAGGTGTTATTTTCTTCCAAATAACTTTCACGTATATTATTTCATGAGAACCTTAATCAACCCTCTTCATGTCTGTGTGGGTTTACCCATTTTACAGGTGGGAAAACCAAGCTTCAGAGAAGGGACTTCACTTCCAGAGGATGAGGGAGCTCACAGATGACAGCGCAAGGATTCAAACCCAGTTTATGTAAAACTCAGCAAAATCTAAGGGAGGCTCAAGAATGGTTATTTTTACAGTAAAATGGATTATCCTCAAATACACACAGAGCACATATTATGAATAGGAAAGACATGGGGAAGCTTATTCCTGCCATGTAAGTGGTGACCACGGCTTATGGGCCATCTCCAAAACAGAACACAGGACCACTTACACGAGATGAAAGATGCTCATAGGGAGGTGGCGTGGTGCTGTTGGGGTGGGCAGACAGGTCCCCACCCTGGTCTGCATTTTGTGAGGGTGCAGGTCTCCCCCAAACACCCCCAACCACCACCAAAGCCAGATGACTTCATTTTATAGGTAAAGGGAGCAACTAACTTGGGGAGTCTTGTCAACAGAGGCAATCCCAGGTCCAGAGAAGTTGTCATGCACAGAAAACGCTCCTACTACTGCTTGGGTTATCACGTAAAAATCCATTTTTTAATGCTACTGCTTCCAAAGCCTAGCTTTCCTGAAGCTTCCCATTTCCGTCAATCAAGTATAATACTTATTTATAAATCAGGCAATTTTATCTAGACAGAAGGACACTCTGTCACACTGCATAGGTTAAGGAACCTTAGACAATAAGACTTATTTACAAACTCAGTTAAATCTTAAACATCTGAAATACCTGTATACATCTAACTTTAAACCCTAATGAGCAAACCTTACTTTAACAACTTTTATAAATCTAATAAGGTAAATAGAGAAATCTAGACAAATTCAAGTTCTCTCAGACAGTTTGCAATCTTTAGAAATGGAGTTGAACACAACTGGACTCTTGGAACTTAAAATCACAAGTCTAAAATCAATTGCACATCTTAAATTGAAGCCACATGGCCAAACGGTCAGTAATCCTAAAATGCCAGAGTCTCTTAAACATTAAAAACAAAAATTAGCCTCAACTTAACCCGAATAATTAATACTATTACTTCTGATCCTACCTCTTTTTCTTCCCATTTGCCCCATTGAAAGGGGGAGGCTTCGGGTAGAGGTACCATCTCTGATGGGCTGATGAACTGGTTACAAAACACGGCCCTCACTCCACTTGCCTACTGCTTGGTTGTCTGAGAACAGGATACAGCATCTGAGCACTGTGTGCTCCTGGGCTCACCTCCGTCTCTCTAGATCAACTGTTGCCTTCTGAGGCTGGTGTTGTTGCCTCAACCTCTCCACATTCCCTCAGGACCAGGCTCTCACTGGCAGACCCAGGCAGACAGAATGTGCCTGTCACTCCTCATCGGCCTTTGACCACATCCCAACAGCAGTACCCACTGAGTGCCCCACATTGTCATCCTTATTGCTAGCAATCCTAAATGAATGCTCCTGTGGCCATTTCACAGATGAGAAAGACAAGGTTCAGAGAGGTGAACTGACTGAATTGTCAGTATCCATGAAACGCTTGCTAGCTCTTCTGAGACGTGGCCAGGGCACACATCAACACACCGTGCATTGAGTTCTTTCCCCATCATCCATTCCATGGTATGTCTCAGTCTCCCTCATGGAAGCATCCTTCCTCTAACCCACAGCTTCCTGGGATCCCGCTGTACCCTACAACGTCATACTTAAGACTCTTTATATTTCCTCAAAACAAAACCCTCAGAGTTTTGCAATCAAGATAATAGCAGGTCTGACTATGCTAATGAAACCCAACATGGAAAACCAAATGTGAGGAGAAATGATGACGTTACTGAAATTTTCCAAAAATGAGAAGCTAGTTTATTCTGTCCTTTCTGTAACCACCTTTTGTATTCCCTCATAACTTCTGCTTCTTAGAAAATTATGAGAGAAATAACCTGGCTTTCACTTTAAAGAACGGTGATGAATATCACACTGGACCATGGGCTGTTAATTTGGCAATGAAAATGCAGTCAAAGGTTTTTAAGGGCTCAGAGTGATTTTATCTTGATCATTATGAACTGTATTTTATGTAACACCATATTTCTTTTCCTTACAGGCAGATAAGCTTAAAGGACTTAAGTGAGGTAAGTGGTAATTTTGTCCTCAGAAACAAAGAAGGGATTTCTGTGCATTAATGTCTGTGATGGGCAAGACACTATTTGATTCAGAGACTTTATCACAATTAATTTTCATAACGGCTATACTCAAATGTATTAATATCTCTACTCTAAAGATGAGAAAACTAAAGTAAAACAAGTGAAGGTCCAGATCTAAGACCAAGGTCTTATTTTGTGACCTGAAGATACTCAGAGTTCACTAGTCCAGTGAAGAGCATCCCAGTTTCCACAGAAGACATAAAGCTTCCACCAATGACCTCCAGTCTTCAGCCTTCCAGAACTAAGATGTTGGAAATGGTACTATACCTTACCATTTGTTCTTCAAATGAAAGACAAGACGGCTCAGTACAAAACATTTTAAATATAGACCACACAGACCTGGATTTGAATACACACAAAACCCCACGGCCACAAAATAGAGAAAGATAATACTTCTTTGCAAGGTTGTTGTGAAAAAGTTAAAATAAGTCAAAGAAAGTGCATAATGACCAAGTGAGCTGTAGAAGCTCAATAAATAGCAGGAAAGTCAGGTTATCATGGAGCTGCCTTAGAGCCCTTCCACACTCAGCTCCTTAACTCCCAATGAGGAAATGATGGGTCCGCTGTGACGGATGGAAAGCCACTGTCCAACAGATAGAGTGGCCTCACCTCATTCCCACTGGCTTCCTAAGGAGTATGGTTCTTGTTTTAGTATTTCGACTATGCTCTTACATCTGGACAGCATAGGTTAATCTATTTTCTTTCTTTCTTTTGTTCTGTCTGTCCATCTGTCCTTTCTTATTTGGTTTTATGAGAATGCTAAAATCAAGTCACGCTTCTCACTTGTCATTAAATAAGACACTACCTCTCATCCATCAGATAAACATGGCAAAGAGGACAGCACATAACTGTTGAATGAGAAGGCCAGCCCTGGTTCCAATCAGGACCTCACCCAGCTCCTCCTCTTCTGGGAGTTTTTGGGTTTTCCAAGTGCCCCCGGGAAGGAGAAAGGTGGGTGTGGTGCTCTGCTGCTGGGCACTCTCTGACTCCACCGCTTCATTCCTGTGGGTAGAATTTATGTGTCCCCGGTAGCAGATGGCTGGCACACAAGATGATCTATAGTCCGCAACTCATAGGTCAGCCTGTAAGGAAAAAAGGCTCTCCAATCATTTAGGAGCAAGAAGGAAGTAGCGAGCCTCAGACAGTGGGGGTCATGCAGGACAGTTTGTTTTCTTTGCGACTTCGGTTGGCATTCTAGGAGTAGATATAATCTAAAACACAACACCGCCTACTGGAAAAACACATTCTTCCTCCTTATCTTTTGCCAAGATACTTCCCCATTGTTTGTCTGGGCTGAGAGTCAAGGCCATTTCTCCACCACAAAAGCCCATCTCATAGGACAAAAGCCAAGCTTGGGTGTGAAGTACTTACTCACATTATATCTTGGGAACCAGAACTCGCTCCCAGCAGAAATTGTGTGCTGCCCACCCCAACTCAAATTCACACAGCACATTATAGTTGTCAAAGAGAGACTCATTGTCTCATTTAATTCTCACAAAACCCTAAGAGAAAAAAGAAGCCTCGAGGGAGGTTGAAGACTTTCCAGAGTCCCCACAGCTGGCAGAAGACAGGGCCAGCCCCTGAAAATCCTGGTCCACTCCCCACACTATGACGCTCTGCCTCAGGAAACTCAGAGGCACTTCTGAGCTAAAGTAGCTTGAAAGAAAAAAAAAAAAAAAGGAAGAAGGAGAAGGAGGAGGAGGAGGGAAAGAGAGAAGGATGGGAATGGAGGGAGAGACATAATAAAGCAGGCATCACTATTTAACTTGAATGTTTATTTTCTAACAACAAAGGTAAAGTAGATAAATGAGAGATTTTACCCCACTTTTCGAATTGCTCAAATTCAGAGCCCTCAAGCACAAAGTGGGCTGGATCTCAATTAAGGAAAACACCTGCTCTCCCAGAAGGATAGCTTTTCAGCTGTGTTTCCAGCTCTGCTCCCCCAACTCCTTCAACAATCCTGAGATTTGTCTTCAACAAGACTGTCTCCGCAGCAGCCTCTGACTGGGCACTTGGAACCGCCATGTCCAAAGTCCCACGCAAGACTCAGTGGGGAGACTCTCAAACCACTCCTTAGAACGGATTCGTTATCCTTTTTACTTAGCCTATAGATTTGCCTGCTTTGCTGTCCATGATGAAATGTATGGCCTCTTGCCAGAACCCAAGGGGACACCGAGGCTTTCAAAACAAAGGGGCTTGCCTGTTGCCGAGCTTCAGTCAAGAGGTTCGATGCCTCTCTGAGCTGTTTGTTGCTAAAGGTTTCTTGTCTGGGAAGACAATGTGAGTCAGGAGACCTGGGCTCCAAGGGTCAGTACACTCCCCCTCCCCACCACATACACACACCCTCACACACACTCTTGCATTGTAAATACATTATAAGTCCAGTTTGTAGCCTAAACTTTTCATGTAACATTGAGACATAATTGGAGCATAATCCTATCCCATACTCTACATAAATACTTTCCATGCATTTATAATTCTGATAAATCAGTATAGCACCAAAATTGACTTAACAGTTCTCACTTAAATGGGCACGTAGATCGTTTCCAGGGTTTGACACTATAAGGAATGATTACTGGACAAGTCTTTGTGCATGGAAATGGGTCCAAATATTGGTCCAAAAATTTTCTTAGGGAAAAAAGTCTCATCGATGGAATTATTGGGATGAAAATAGGAGCAATCCTAAGGTTTCTTGATGGCTATGGTTCACCTGTTTTCAGAAGAGCCAAAGTAATTTTAACCTCATCAGCAGATTGCATATTTGCCTGTTGCATCACACAGAGAGTATAACATTTTTATTTTTGCTTAGTCTTTTGGAGAATTATTTGTAGGTTTTAAAAAATCTATACTAACAAAAATGTTGCTCAAATTCTACTAACCAATTGCTCCAAAACACAGGTTTAATGTAAAATTCTCTATCACCAAGACTCACGCAACATCATTATTTTTTGTTGTTAATTCAATGCAGGTCCTTGGGACAGATCGAGGTAAGCTGTTTACATTTGTTTTCATACCCTGATACCATTAGGTTGAGTTCCATTTCCAGATTTATAGCATTAGTCATTTTTAGAAAGGATTGTTTCAGGGCCTGGGATCAAGGAGCACCTGCGTGTATGCACGATGATGTGATCCAGATGGGCCCGGGGCCTCCTAGTCTACTCAAGAACCCTCTTGTTGAAACAAGGTGATTAAAATTGGGGCCGAGTTGGAGGTCCTTCTTCTGCCGCAGGCACCTGACAAGAAGGAGGCACACGGTCTGCCTCTGCCACTTTAGAAAGACGTGGCTGGCCCACTGCTCCAGGGAAGCTCTTGGTCTCTCTGGCTTTGATGGAACCCATGCACACACACGCATACCCTCCTCTGATTGTGCACACACACATATATGTGTGCACACATCATTGGTGCTGTGCAACGCAATCCAACACTCATTCAGTAGTTGGCATGCTAAGCAACAGTATGATCATGCCTACCTTTGAAATACCATTCACCATTCACTTATGATGATCAGTTATGTCAAAGCCAAGGGCCTGAGCCGCGGCCCAAAGAGTGAACACGGGCAGCATAGTCCCACAAAGCAACATTGGTTCGGATTTCAGAGGCTGCTACCGACTCACTCGGTGGTTTTGGCCATGTTGTGTTGCCTTTGTGGGTCTCAAGTCTGCTCTTCTTGGGAGTTAGGCTTCAATGGGCCTAACCTGGGTTTGTAGATTCTCAGGGGTCCCTGATGGAGAAGTGGGGGTCGGTTGGCAATTCTAAATAATTTTAAGACCTAAAGGAAACTGTGCCTTTTCCACGCCAAAGCTCAACATCCTCACTAAAATGTTCAGATACTGTTGCCTTGAACTTCTGAAATTATCAGTGCAGTGATGTCACATTGACCAGCACACGAGGGACAGAGGCTCTGGGTGGCTGCTGATGACATGAAATGATTTTACGGGATAGGTGACTAGTGGACCAGGCATCAAAAAATCAAGTAATCAATTACACTTGAAGTATTCACAGCCCTTCAATCAGAGGTGTTCAGTCTGTGACCCACCTTGGACAGAGGAAGAGCACAGAGCAACAACCAGAATTAAGACATGTCAAGGTTGATATGCTTCCTTAACTTCACCCCTAAGGACAGCCACAGGGAGAGTGTTTTATGGCATTTCATATCATAGTATGATTATATCCCTTGGTGATTTGGATAGAAGATTAAAATCTATTCATGATGAAAAGAAAATAAATAGTGGTCACATCCATGGCATATGTAATTACTAAATAACTCAAGTTCATACGGTTGGCAGATCTTTTGAAAACTTAAAGATCAAAGGGGAAATTTTGAGAAAATATATGCCTGAGGGCAAGCAGGCAGGCACGGCTAGTCTACGTCAGAATCCTGGGAGCTCTCTAGCCCTGCTGCTGAAGAGATGCAAGACTTCAGGAGGGCGTGGGCCAGCACTGGGCAAGCCCCTGCCCAGAGAAGTCCTCCAGTTTCTCTGTTTTATTTATGTTCCTATGTAAGTTCTCACTTGAATGCAGAATTCAACTTTGGTTCACTTCCACGCCAAGCCCTTCCAAAAACAAATACCTTCCTGTATTTCTGGAACCTCAGTGATGAATTCCAGATTCAGGACTCTTGATCCTATCAAATATTCACGATTCAAAGTGGTTTTTATAGCCCCAGGGAAAAGCCACCCACAGGAGCCAGGAGAGTTGTAGAATACATAGGCTACAGTTTCTGCTGATCACCAACAACCCAATCTTAATCAGAGGTCACTCAGATGAAATTATGGAAGTTCCATTAGGTCCCCAATCATTTTCTTTTTACAATCTGACCATTGTGCAACTCCTTTATGCAGTTCCTCATTATCAGATGAAACCTGAATCAATTCACCTGTCACGAAATCAAAGCCCTCCAGAGACTCCTCTTGCCACTGCCAGGTAAGGAGACAGGAATGCCTTGTTGGGTGGCAGCCTGGGGATCAGGCCATGTGTTGTCCTGGATAATGACGCACCAAGGCTTCCTGAGGAATGGGAAGTCTTTGGTCTTTGATAATGAAGCCCAGTGATGAGGCCCAAGGGAAATATGTGAGTCACAGTTGCTAGGGAAGCTGATGGCATTGTTCTTCCTGCAATTTACTAGCAATTGCTTGTTAGAGAAGTTTGGGAGATCTGAAGGCTTGGATATGAACTAGACAGGATTAACTGGAATGGAGGCAAATCAGTCTGGGGGAAAAATTGGCCATTTCTAGTTATTCTCAGTTGGTAACTTATAGGTTACCACCTGCAAACTGACAGCTATTTTTGAGCAAAACTTTATAGATGGTTGGGGGTTGAAAATGCCATTATCTAATTTAACATTTGCCTGATCGGGTTATTATAACTACTGTCCCAACTGAAGATTCGAGGAAGCAAAGGCTCAGATCAGTGATTCACTGACCAAGGTCACTATAAATCAGTGCTGGCTTCCTTACAACAAAATCCAGGACCTCCAAAATTAGTGCTTCTAAGGTCCCCATGACCCCTGGCTGGTCAGCAGTTCTGACCTCAGATCATGCCACTTTCCCACTGTCTCAGCCCCTGTTTTCACTTAATGCAGGACATGTGCACATGATATTCCTCTGTCTATACCACCTCCCTCCATATTTTCCTCTCAGGACCCTCTCCCTGCTTGGCAAACCCCTCTTCAGCCATCAGACCCCAGCTGAAAGCCACACTGAATTTAAGAGCTAGTTCTAACCCACTCTTTGGAAGGAATAAATGAGGCCCAGAGAGGTGGGGTTCCTTACCACTGAAGTCAAGTTCAACTTCGAAACCCAAACAGTAGCCCATGCTGCCAATCATGGCTTAATTCTGAAAATGCTGAAATCTGACTTTCCCTGGTGTCCTGCCCACAGTTAAGATGCTGTATTTTATTTACTCAATAAATACTTATAGGGAGTGTACCTTATCTATGGTAGAACAGAGTCATGGTCAGGAGAGACCCACCAGAATCAGACTGCCCAGCCTCATCACTAGCAAACCACATCCTTGGGCAACATTGCTTGTCCTACAGTAGACACTGAGAGCAGATCCAGGCCTACTGCAAGTTCCCAAAAAATGTCAGCTCTCACTGCCACAGGTCAAGCCTGCGCATCAAGGGCGTGATCTCTATCCCCCGTTACCTCCCCTTCCCTCACTTGCTTGTTGTTGTTTCAGTTGTCTTTTACTATATTTTATAATCTTCTTTCTCTTATGGATTTCCTCATACTAATCCATAGTTTTCTCACTTAGCTCACGTTTCAAGAAGGAACAAGATAATTTCTGTGCTCCTCTTGCTTGCTATGGCTCACTCTCCTTCAACTGGTAAACAATTTCTAGAAAATATCAGCCCCAACCCACCACCCATCTATGGTGACCGTAGTTACGAGGCAAGTCTGAATTCATGGCTTCCAAAAGCAAAGAATCATAATATGTGCTTATTGAAATACGATGGAAAGAACACGTATGGGTCAATTTGTTCCATATATGGTTCCCTGCCTTGAGAAAACGGAGAAAGAAACAGCTGCCTACCGCCTTACAAAACAAATCCTTGTAGCACAGCCAGTGAAATAGAAAGTGCTTGGTAAATGGTCCATTATGACTGACCTTGCCTTTGAGTGGAATTTTAGCTACCATGGGGATATACTAACATTCTGTCAATTCTAACATTTCCTTTAGCTCACCATTCATGACCAGGAACCACAGTGTGCAAAACAGAGGTAAGAGCACCTTATGTAAGAATTATAAAGCAAACAGGTAAGCCATCACACTATGACATCCCTGTGCTGTGACTTAGCTTTTACGAGCCTCAGCGTCATTGAGCTGATGCATGTAGGTTTAATTAGATCATTTTCATTGATAGATAGTATTCCATAATGTTAATATCACAATGTATATCTGTAATTCAATATGATCACTTAGGTAGCTTCCAGAGTTTTCTTCTTATGAACATAATGACGTTATGAACAATAATGTAGAAGTCTTCCCACATACACAACACGGTAACTACTTCTCTGAGAGTGAAATTTCTGGGTTGGAGGCTGTGCCTCTCTTTGATTATACTAGCTGTGTCTTCCAGACATGCCAGTTCACCAACAGCTTATGAGTCCTCCTCGTTCCCCATCATCTCCAACAGTTGTTCTTGACAAACTTTAAGTTCTGCCAATCCTTTGGATGTAAAATAGATTTATCTTAAGTCTATCAAACAAAGAAAATCAAATTGATTCCTCTTATTAATTGATGGTAAAGATGAACATAGGATACCTGTCTGCAGAGTAGTCTACTGTAGCATATAAAAATAGTGTCATATTCCTATTGGTGGTGAGTCTTGGTATTATTAGTATTATATTGTTTAAACAAATCTATCATATTTTTGCATTTCTTTCCTCACCCCATATGCTATGAAGATTCTGTGTTAAGGTCTAATCCTACAATCTCTTTCTGTTGAGCCAGAAGAGAGCTGAAAGCTGCAGGAAGCAGACCCCATGGGATATAGTGGAATGACTGAGGTTCTACTGACCTGAGTCCTAGTGCTGCCTCCTTCCCTGCAACAGGGTCATCTTGAGCAAGTTCATTCTTGGATCCACACCCTCCCTCCATCCATAAAATCCAAATAATAATATTAACTCACAGGATTTTATACACACACACACACACACACACACACACACACACACACACTGATGTGTGACACATAGTATACAACTGACACATTTTAATAAATATCCTTCCTTCTCCAGGGATTCCCAGCCCAATTGATCCATAAGACCCAAGAGTTTCCTGCCTCATCTCCATCTTGTCCTTATCCTTTCCCTGCCCTACACTATCTAGGTCTTAGATTGTAAAACCAATCTGGAAAGTTTATTTCCCCTGATGTGTGCCACATTGCTAATAAGAGTTGCTTAAGCGGGGCGCCTTAAGGTGTCCCAGTCAGTTAAGCAACTGCCTTTGGTTCCAGTCGTGATCCCAGAGCCCCAGGATCAAGTCCTGCATCAGGCTTCCTGCTCAGTGGGGAGTCTGCTTCTCCCTCTGGCCCTGGCCCTTCCCCTTCCCCTATTTCATACTGTCTTTTGCTCACTCTCTCTCAAGTAAATAAATAAAATCTTTAATTATAAAAAAAAAGTTTCCCAAGAGAAGATTTCCTTTTTTAAAGGAAGGCAGTCAAAAGGAAGAACTGTGATTAATGGGATGGGTCCAATCCCTAAGAATCAAATGGCAGAAGCAGTAGTCCTGGAGGCCAGACTAGGTGTATGAAGACAGGGAGACTTGTAGCGTCAGGGGGCAAATCTAGGGGCTAAGCAGGGCCTGTGAGAATATGCTACAAGGAGAGCAGAATCAGCTTAGAGAGAATTCCGAAGTCTTAATTTGAAAGACAAAACCATGCACAAGTGAAAAATGAGGAGGAATTGAAGATCGGAACAGCAGTGTTAGTGAGGCCGATGGCCTTCACAGACAAGAGTCCAGTCAAGAATCCCCAAACTGGGAGTAAATCATCTGCTCTGAGGTCTTACAGGCTGTCCTCCATCCGTGTCCCAAAACAGGTGATGAAGGAAGTAGCCCAGGATGGATGGGGGGAAATGTTTCCAGAGCCTTCAAACACCACAGATTCATTCCTCTTTCACTCATCAAGCATCCACAAAGAACATGGTTTTATGCAGAATTGGGCTGGGTGGGTCCTAAGAATACAGAACAGAGGCAGCCCCGCCCTTCAGCTAACCAGTGCTTAACTGCTCCCCCCGTTGGCTTACTGAGCAGATGTTCATTCTACTGAGTAAGAATTCATTGCTCGGGCACCAGGACTTGGCAGAAACTAGATGCATAGAAAAACACACAATCTCAGCACTCAGTTTTCAGTCTAGCAGACTCTCTAAAGCTTACTGGTTTTAATTTGAATGCCTGAGCCAAAGGAGGCAACACTCTTCATGTAGAAGAGTGAAATCTATGCCACTGTCAATGGGTATATTATCATCCTTATTCTACAAATGAGAAAGGAATTTGGGAAATGCTTTTTCTTGATAGTTCAGCAACTACTTGATAAACAGACTTGGCTCAATTCCCTGATTAATGAATTCAAGCTAAGCTATTAGGAGTCTGAGAATTCTGTGCCCAACAGAATTGGGGTTGGGGCGGTGGTCCACACCACCAGGCAATTCTCAACACCAGCTGGGTGACCTGTAGTTCAACTCTATTCTGACACTACAGGGAGTCCCTTAGATCCCACAAGTTAAAGGTTCAATCCCACAAGACTGCACCCCAAACAGCCCATGTTGGATGTCAATCATATGCCCAGGTTGTCACCTGGGCTTCTGATCAACCAGCTATAGGTCCAAGGTTCCAGTGAACCTCTCCCTAGATTCAATTAATTTGCCAGAGTGGCTCACAGAACTCACAGAAACATTTCTCTTGCCGGATTACCATTTATTATAAAAGAATACAATTCAGCCACAGTCAGATGGTAGGGATGCATAGGACAAGGTCCTGAACAAAGGGGCTTCTGTCCTCATGGATTTTGGGGTCCTGAATGATGGCACATGGAAGAGTTCTGGTTCACCAAACCAGAAGCTCTCTGAACCCCATACTCTAAAGTTTGGAGAAGTTTCATTTCATAGGCACGATTGATGAAATCATCGGCCACTGGTGACTGATTCAACTTCCAGCCCCTTTCCCCTTCCCTAGGTAAAGGGGGTGGGACTAAAATTTCCAAACCGTCAGTCACATGGCCAGTTTACCTGTCAACCAGCCCCCATCCTTAGGCACTTTTGGAAAGTCACCTTATTAACATAAACTCAGGTATGGTTGCAAGAGGTTTGTTATACATATTAAAGAACCTGTATCATTCTTATTACTTAGGAAATTCCAAAGGTCTTAAGAGCTGCTGTTAGAAACTGACTACAACCAAACACATGTTTCACCACTGCATCACAGAGCCTAAGTGAATGGGTATCAGGACCAAAAACAAATTATTTTGATATATTAGAAGATGGTCCAGAAAGGTTTGGCTCTACTCCAAAATTCTAACATTAATCTCTAAGCTTGGGATTGTAGGGGATCTGTCTTCTTTTTGTTCAAAATTTTTGTTTTCTGACATTTTACTTTTCTATCAGCATTTTATAAATATTCTTTAAAAGATATGGCTCTTACCTTATAAAATTGCTTTTTAAATTGCATGTAAGAGTAAATTAAAATTTGCCAATAAATATGTATGGATACCTGCTGAAAATAAAATGCTTTTCTGTAACTTACAAAAGAAAAGTCTAAAACTGTGTTTCTTTTATAATAGTAACAACAGAAGCAGTGGTGTTTCTTGAGCGATAATACAGTCAAACACCACACTAACAGCTTTATATACAGAGGAGTTTTGAAATGTTAGTAATTACTGATATCAATATGATTCAACAACCCATGCCTTTTTTATTAGGCTACCCTACCTCAAATTTTATTGCCCACCCACACACTGTCCTCTCCACAATATTCTTGTACTGTCCTCTAAGTAAGAGAGTCTTATTTCATGGGGTTATAAAACCAAACTGCAGTCTTATGTAAAAAAAAAAATATACATATATATATGTATATGTAAGTATATTTATATATGTACATATATGTATCTGTATACATATAAATATGTGTATGTATAATATATATTTAATATTATAATATTATGTGTATATACATGTATATATATATAATTTCCAAAGATTAGCTGCCATTATTCTAGAACAAAATCAGTTAAATATTTGCAATGGATTATATACTCAGAATTTCATTCACTCATTAAACAAAGAGCCAAAGGGCTTTCAAAAGAAAACAGTACAGCTAAGTTGTTCTGTTTGTTGTTTTGTTCCATTTAAATCATTCTCTGCATGGACTACAAATGCATGTAGATGTTTCTAAATGCTCTTTTTCAAGTTGGACTTTTTAAATATTCAAGCAAGGCACTCAGAGTCGAAATCTAGTAAATCAGTTGCCACAATATAATGAAAAATTCATAATCACTGAACACTATTATGTAAACTACACAAACCAAGTGATAGACAATGCCGATAATGGTTACTTTCTTTTCCGAAGTACACTCGTACAGTTTTGATCCATGTTGAAAAGATAGCGATGGCCATTTCAGTAATAAGTCTCTATGTACTGTTTCACTCTAATTTAAAATAAAGTTTTTAAAGTATTTTCAGAAATACTATAAGAGCTCTTTTAGCTTTTTCTTGTTTAGGATTTGTCTAGTATATAGAGTCCATCCTCCCATTAGTGACCACTTTGTCATTATATTTCGGTGTCACTATATTTAAGGATAACTGGAATTTTTTAACTAGTCTGTACCTAATTTTTAAATGCTTAGCTTAAACTTTTGACATTTATTGTGATTACTATATTTTAGATCAGTTTTTTTTTATATTATTCTGTGACTCCTATTTGCCCAACTGTTTCGGACTATTTCTTTTCCTGCCAGATAGTGGGTTCATCTCCTAATTCCCCTTTCTTTCTGCCCCCTTGGAAGTTTTATGTTCCAATTCCATTCACTCATTCATGACCTTTAACATTTTAAATAAAATCATGTTTGAATTCTAAAAATCTGAGGTTCATATCCTGTTCCCAAGCAATACAAGAAACTCAGAATGCCCTAAATCTGATGGTATGGATTCTGCACCATTTGAAAATTAAGTTCCCTTACTTATAAAATTTGAAAATCAGAGAGGTCTTTAGCATAATTCCTATTTTTAAGGTCATAAATTGGTGGGTGAAATTAACTTACTATGATGAATGTGATTTAAACTTGAAGCAATCAAACGTTTTTCAACAAACATTTTGGTACACATAATTCCCTCTAACAAACATTCTTAGGCTCCACGTTAAAAGCCACAATCCTTGGAACCATTAAAATAGAATTTAAAATGTTTCAGGAGTACTCAATTCTTCTTAGGAAACTTAGAGAAAAATTCAGCTTTTTGATGACAAGAAGCAGAATAAAAACATATAACCTAAATGCTACTGTAACTGGCATGTAAATATTTGCTATTAGTACTATGTTTCAAAGTATATTGTCAAAAGTATCCCACTCTTTTGAAGTTCTTATTCAGCTACTAACTAGAACTATAATTTTAATTATATTTTTAAACTGAATTAATATTATATAGCTTTTAATTCTGCTTTCATACTAATCACCTTTCTTCCATGTTATGTTATTACTGTCCAGTATTCTACTTTGATATTGTTTTCATACTCTCAAGGCTTTATGATTTTTATACAGTTAATCCTTGCTTAAAATTACTAACATATTTACTAATATCTTTGCTTAGTATTTCTCCTAACACTTCACTCCTTCCTTGTGGCCTTGATTTCATCCTTTACTAGTGTTTATGAGAATTACTTGCGGTGGAATTGTGCTAATTTCATTGAATATAAGGAGAAAACACCATGTCAAAGCTTGACAAGTGGTAGTATCTTAAAATTTAGGTTCCATGTGAACACTAAACCCTTTCAATGAACTTTTTGTATTCTGTTACTTTAAAGTCCATTGGTCTATCTTGCTCTTTTAAAGAATGTTCTCACCATGCATGATTTTGTAACATCATGAATTGGTCACTTGGAATATGATTCACAGACCTGAGCAGATCTTTCCAAAGTTAACACATTTTATAATTTTTTTTAAATTACATTTGCAAATAACACCCCAAGTCTCATCAGAAAATTGTGCTGTTATGTAATGATGGTAGATACAAGTTTTTCCAAATTCCAATTTGCAGTAGAAAAATCTAATTTTATAATTGGCAACAAATACTGCCAGTTCTTTTCCATAAAGTGACAGGCTTACTTTGTTCATTTTTAATAAAATATCTGCCAATTGCCCAAGTCTGAATAACCATAATTTATGGATTAGTCATTCTTTTAGGTTAAAAATGTGATATTCCACTAAAACAAAAAGTTATTCTTTCAAGTTAAAAAAAAATAGCATTTTCTGAGTTGAGAACCAATTTGGCTTGTTGAAGAAACTAAACAGAGGTCATTATGACCAGAACAGAGTGGACAATGTGAGATGGATGGATGGATGGATGGATGAATAGATAGATAAGATTATTCCAGGCCTTATGGACAGAAGTAAAACAATTTGGATTTTCTTTCTGGTGTAAAGGAAACCATGGAAGGACTTTTACCAGGTGGAATAGCAAAGTCAGAACTACATTTTGTTATGATTACTTCAGATGCCCTAGAGAGGAAGGGGCAAAAGCTGAAGCAAGAGAACAATCCAGAGGAGATTGCTGTCCAGAATGAGATGACAGTAGCGTAGACCAAGAAGTAATGGAGGGAAGGGCATGGAAACACACGCCAGACACAGGCAGGAGGAATGAGTTCCAGCTCCTTGCTGGAGGGAAGAAATCTGACACAGTAACAAAATCATACTTACATGTGAATTTCCTTTTCCCCAGATCATAAAGAAAGCATGCAGTTTCATCCTCCTCAGAGATGTCAGTCTCCAGCCCACCTCAGCCCTCAGGAAAATTCACTGCACTATAAAAACACGAACTGGAGAAAACCTTTCCCCACAAGGTCTGATGAAAAGGTAAAACAAATACTTCTCTTCAGTGTCTTTCTAGATGAACTTAGCATCAACAGAGAGCTTTATTGAACCATGGCTACATGGAGATCATCATGATTGGCTTTATTTTATTCCCCTTCTGGCTACATATTACTGATTTTTAATATTTTTACAGTGTTTTATTATATTTTATATTGCTCTTCTAACCAGTCTTTAATTTGCACATTCTCAGATTCTTCAAGTGGCTTTAATTAATAAAAAAAATAGAGATATCAAAGCCTGTGTTTTATATTCACTAGCTGTTCAGGAGGATTTATATATTGCAATACTTTTGCCAATAAAAGAGCCACCTGTCATATACTGATTGCATTTGAACAGTCCAGCAATTTATTGAGCACTTATTTTATGCCACATAATGTGCTAGAGGATATTGTCCCTGGCCCAGAGGAAACATAGAGCAAGGAGAGGTGCTAATTCATAACAGATGTATTCTTGTTTGTCCTTCATCTATTTCCTGCTCTCTTTCTAAAATATTCACCATCCCTATTATCTTCTTGGATCAAGTTGCACTTACATTTACTATGGGGATGGCGTGTGTTTCCATGCCCTTCCCTCCATTACTTTATAACATTGCTTATTAAATAAAGTCTTTCACTATAAAGCACAGAGGAATATGCTTCTTATGGGTCTCCATCCCATATCCCCCATATGCTTGGGGCCCTGCTCTGGACCTGAGAAAGTGTTTTAAGCAGAAGCAGAGCATATAAGTATCTCTGGTCCAGTCCTACAATCTCTGCAGTATCCTAAAGGTCTTTTGCTGTCCTTATATTAATTTCTACCTTAATTCTAAAGAGGTTTCAAACTCTTAAGTTAGACTTTGGGAAACTTTGGCACATACTTCTGTTATTGTCCCTTTCTGTGTACCTGGCTTCTTTTGCCTCTGTCATCTCCTTCATGAGCACTGAAATCCCTGAGTTCTAACCAGCTGTCTCTCCAAACTATACCTCTCCCAGGGCCTGGATTCCTCACAGGCATGGGAGAAGCTTGCACGAGATCCAGACTGCCCTGATGTCAACAATTTCAATGCACCTTACGATCTGTGACCTACCCATGTACTAGCAATAATAAGGTTTACTTATTAATATTCTTTGACTCTTTTTTTTCATTTTGTATCACTGTTCTAAAGAAAAAGACAGTATTATGTGCCACAGATAGGTAGTACCCTTCAAACTAATTGCAACAATCCACTTCTGGGTATATATGCCCCAAAAAACTGAAGGCAGGGAGTCAGAGAGGTATTTGTACACCCATGCTCATAGCAGCATTTTTCACAATAATGCCAAAAAGTGGAAATAATCCATGTACTCACTTTGTATATATAAAACATTTATATGATATTAATAATAAAATCTTTGCTATATATCTATATATTTAATTATATATTTATATATCTAATATAAATAATATATAATATACAAAATATATAAAAATATATAATATATATAAATAGGGATACTGCAGGTACTTTTATATATTTATTTTTTTATTTTATATTTGTATATAAAAATATGTATATGTTTATGTATTTATATTTCTATTTTATATATAGAGAGAGAAAGAGAATCCCTGCAGTATCTTGTTTTATATATATACGTGTGTGTGTGTGTGTGTGTGTGTGTGTGTGTGTGTGTATGTATAATGAGTATTTGGACTCTTTCCACCTCCCGGCATACACACACACACACACACACACACACACACACACAACTTCAGTTTGGAATGATGACAAAGCTTTGGAGATGGACAGTGGTGATGTTTGCAAAACCATGAGAATGTACTTGATATCACTGCATTATACACTTAAAAATGGCTTAAATGGGGGTGCCTGGGTGGCTCAGTGGGTTAAGCCTTTGCCTTCGGCTCGGGTCATGATCTCAGGGTCCTGGGATCGAGGCCCGCATCGGGCTCTCTGCTCAGCGGGGAGCCTGCTTTCTCCTCTCTCTCTATGCCTGCCTCTATGCCTACTTGTGATCTCTGTCTCTGTTTCAAATAAATAAATAAAATCTTTTAAAAAATGGCTTAAATGGTAAATCTTATGTTATGTACATTTTACAACATTTTTAAGTCACTTTAGCTCAAACAAAACAAGGCCATTAAAATGGAGCAAGATCCCACCACTCACTAATGGTTCTCAGCGTAAGGATTGTTCTTCTGTTGCAGAAGAGATCAGAAAAGCCAGAGAGATATTAAGGACATACTTGAACAAAAATGAAACATTCCCCTTGAATTATTCAAAGGGCTAGACAGAGAACTGAAAGGAGGCTACTTCTCCCCCAGGTAACTCAGAGTTATTTAATGCTGTATCTGAGTACCACCTAAACTTGTCTGCCAGCACTCATGGCCAAACCTGGAGAAAACAGGATTATAAAATCTCTACGTGCCTTCCAGTTTGAGCAAGTAAATAAAATCAGAATGGCTGAAATGCACCCTGACTGAGCCCTGCCAAGCCCTGATCTATCTGAGAGACTGGCCAGAAGCAGTAGACTGCTCTGAGCTCTGAGAGCTCCCACTTCTGAGGGGGATAGGGCTCTGAGGATCCTTTCTTTCTGGAGCCTGTGACGTGGCTTTGCAAGAGTCGAGCAGAGCTCCTCCTGCCTCTGGACCTTCCCAAGGGGGCAGGGACTAGGTAGAGGAAATTATTCCAAAGGGAGTCTTAAATAAGAGATGACTTTGCTCCCCAACTGGATGGAAGAGAATGGCAGAGCCAGGCAGGAGAAAAGGGTGAGGCACGGGGTGGTTTCTAGGCAGCAGGGCTGGCTCATGCCAAGCCCTGAAGTGATGCATGTCCAGAGATGCTGGTCCAAAGACCAGCAAGCATATCTGGCTGGCCGGACCCATGTCCTCAGACTGGAGGGAGGCAGCCGGTGAGGTTGCAGACTTAGGCTAGAGCTAGCTCATCCCTCTCCTAGTGTCACTCACATATGCTTGGTGGTGTACCCATTGCTGGAAGGATCTCCATCCCAGTATGCACCGGGAGGACCAGAGACTCAGATGGAGAGAACAAAGACCTGCTGTCCCATACCTAACTCTTGCCAACCATGTGACAGATGCTGACTCCCTAAGCCTGCACTATCCTGACATGCCTGCCGCACAGGATTATTAGGGGGGTGGACTTAATAATGAATGAAGAATGGCCTTGAAAAGGCTGGACTCACGCAGGGGACTGTTTAATGTTGTCATTCTTGGATTCCAGTAAAGGAATTGTAGATTCATGGCACATCTCCCTGACTGCCCTTTCTTCTGTTATGGTGGATTTTATCATCAAATTAAATCAGTTAGTATAATAGGGTATCATGGTACAGAGAGAAATCCAGACAGGCCAGGGTTCGAATCCCAGTTCCACCACATGAGACTTCGCACAAGTGCTACAAAGATGCTCTTGATCTGCACCTTCCCCTCCCCTGCTGGTTTTTCAAGGACTAGGGCCACCGCTAGCTTCAAAAACAAAAACCTCCCACCTTAGCTTCAGCAGGTGCAGATTCAGAAAGCACTGGTAGATAGTGTTTATGACCCATTGTGAGCGTGGTGCCGAAGGGCCTTTCTCAATAGATGGGAGTGAAATTTCTCATTACTCTCAGTGACAGACAGACTCTGTTGTGCCAGTTTCCTACAACAGTAAACTGCGGTTACTTTTCCTGCATCCATTTCCAGATCCAGGGATGGAATTTTGGGGCTGCATACTTACTATAAATCAAACTGTGGTTTGACCCTAGTGGAACAAAAAGCACACTTTAGTTAATTAATTGATTCAAGTTAGTACTTCTTTTTGACCCTAAAATATTCACCATCTATCTGCACCACAGGATGTCCAACAGAATGACTGGTACATCGGAGAACACAGTCGCCAGGCAGTGGAAGAGGCATTAAGGAAGGAGAACAAGGTAACACCTTGTACAGGCGTCACTGCACCCTGTCTGCAGCCATCTTTGGTTTTCTGCCCAAAGGTCCCAGCACATACCGAGCAGTGTGCTTTGATGCACCAGCCTGGATCTCTCAATGCTCAGGAGGTTGTCATTAAAAGGGGGAAATGGCTGTGTCACTTATTAATCTTGTGACTTGCCCTTCTTCCAAATTATCTTTAAGGAGGGCACATGATGTGATGAGCACTGGGTATTACATGCAACTGATGAATTACTGAACTCTACCTCTAAAACTAATGATGTTGGCTAATTAAAATCTTTTTTAAAATATTTTTAAGTTTAGGTTTCTTTATGGATTAAATGAAAACAGTAAAATGAACCCTAAGGAACTACTTTGGAGATCAGATGTGGAAGCTGGGGTATGAATGGAGGTCACCATGGAAAATGCCTTCCTTCTAACTTTCTTCCCAGTTCATCTCATTACTAAAGGTCTGCCCAAAGTACAGGCAGGTCTTTTTTTAAGATTGTATTTATTTATTTATTTATTTATTTATTTATTTGAGAAAGAGAAGGAGAGACAGAGTACAAGTAGGCAGAGTGGCAGGCAGAGGTAGAGAGAGAAGCCGGCTCCCTGTTGAGCAAGGAGCCCAAGGTGGAACTCGATCCCAGGACCCTGGAATCATGACCTGAGCTGAAGACAGCGACTTAAACAACTGAGCCACCCAGGTGTCCCTAGAGGTGGGCCTTTATATCTCCTGTCTCCAGGAAAGGTACAGGGATCATGAATAACGTCCTAGTCAGGATATGATAGGTTTCTGTATTAAGTACCCCAAGTTCTCAGTTGCTTAGCACAGCAAAACTTTCTTACTTGAGCTCCGTGATCTACAAAGGTTTAGGTGCATAGATCTAAGCTGGTGGAGACCACGTCTTCATGTGTGCTCATACCAATCACATGCTGACCCTTACCACATCTTCTCAAAAGTAATACTCATCTCTGCTCACATTTCATTGGCCAAAGTGATTCACATGGCCAGGCCTAACTTCCAAAGGGGTGGGGACAGACAAATCTATCATTTGTCCAAAAAGAGAAAAGACATGAAATTACTTAGAATCAGATCAAATGACACTAGAACCATCATCACCAACAGCAAATACTTATTACTATTCTATTATGAGCAGAGAGCTCTATTAGACTGTGAGAAATCTCTCCAAAGTGACAGAAAGGTTCTCAAGACTGTTGGATCATCAAAACCTCTAACTAACCAGTGCAATGTTTGTTGTTGAATGAGGAAATACAAAGATGGAGTTAGTTAATTAGTAAATGGGTGGACAAATGATAGGTCCCCAATAAAGTTTAGTAAAATGTAGCTCTCGGAAATGATATTGTGAAATTAAATGAGATAAATTAGATGCTAGTTTCTAGGGTAAATTGAATGATGCCTCCTGACAAGAAACCCACATCCTAATCCCCAGACCTTGTGAATATGCCTCCTTACTTGGAAAAAGGGCTTTGCATGTGTGATTAAATTAAGAACCTTGAGATGAGGACACTATCTTGTATGAGCTGAGCAGATTCAAAGTAATCACAAGAATCCTTAGAAGAGGAAGACATGATGGCTATAAATGAAGGACCCCCTGGCGGCCTCTGGAAGAAAAAAGTCAAGGAAACGCATTCTTCCCGAGGGCCTCCAGAAGGACCCCAATCCTGAGACCCTTGCTTTAGCCCCTTGCTTTAACCCTTATCAGACCTCAGCCTCCAGAACTGTAGGAGAATAAATTTGTGTTTTAGTCCATGAAGTTCATGGTAGATTGTTCTAACAGCAGGAAGAAATTAATACAGTTGCTAACAAAGTATCCCAAACATATTAGAAGTCCACGGAACGATCTCATTTTCTAGATGAGGAACTGGAGGCTAAATCAAGGTCTCATTCATAAAGAGGAAAAAGTGGAAAAGGGGACAGAACCTATATTCAAGATCAGTGCTCTTTCCACAAAACCACAGCTGCCTGTAGTAGCCATCACAGTTCTTTACGTTCCAGTGGATAGCTGTAGGTGGCTAGGTGATGCCCTGCCTTCAGGACCCTCCCTGACCCCTCCTCAGGGAATCCCACTCTAGTTGACCTCTCCTGAGTAGATGGGGGAGCAGGATGTCAGCTCCAACCTTGCTTCCTCCTCCTGGCTAATCAGCACCAAATAGGTCACTATACTCTCTGAGCTGTTTGCCAACAGAAAAATTACACTGAGCGGACCTGCTTCCAGGAGCCGCTGTGTGGATCGTGCTAAAAGCCCAACATATGCACCCATAATGTCCTTCCAGCAACATCTGGGCACTCAGTCAAGGCTCCTTTTGCCACCCCCTCCCCCTGTGCCTGTTTCTGCCTCCTCCCCAAAAAACACTGAGAAAACAGCATCTCAGTTGCATGACTTCATCTTTCCCTATTCTGTTTGTTTCAGTTTTGTCAAAATATGTTTCCAATTAATGAAAGATAATTTCATTTAAATTGCAGGATTGCCCAGATTCATGGTGACAAACTCATTGCAGAGGTTAAGATGATAAATCCAAAAATTGGTTCCATGTCTTGGCATCTTCTCCCTTCCTAATCTTGGGCAATGTTCTGTGCTTGAATCTTAAGGCTTCAATTATGGCTGAACGTTTTATGTAGAACAAGTTCCAGAAGATTCTTCAATCCCACTTTATGTACTCAGAGGCTGATATATTTAAAGGGCAAAAACTTGAACTAGACTATTAGGTAATCTACTAACTAGTCATGAGGCATTAGTGGATTCACTTAAGCAATTAAGACCCTACTTCCCTTACCTGTAAAATGGGGGTAAAATAACTTCTCAAATTTTATGTAAACATCACATGAAATAATGTTGTAAAATGCCTAGCATCTTTTTTTTAAAGATTATATTTATTTATTTGAGAGAGAGAGAGAGAGCACAAGCAGGAGGAAGGGGCAGAGGGAGAGAGAGAAGCAGACTCTCTATTCATCAAGAAGCCCAACGAGGGGCTTGATCCCAGGACCCTGAGATCATGACCTAAGCCAAAGGCAGACACTTAACTCTGAGCCACCCAGGTGCACCTAAAATGCTTAGCAACTTGAGAGCAAGTCTCAATAAACCTTAGCTATCAGAATTATCACATCTCTACAGTTTCTTAGTATTATTTATAAACTTAATATATTTATAGTATTAGTATAAGTATTGTAATCTTTATTCTCTGTATCTATAATGACAAATATTAGTTATGGATAACAGGTATATACAGATATAAGATATAGTCTATATGGAGATAATTATATGTAACAATTAGTTATAAACATAAATTATTATATGTAATATCTATCTATAAAAAATAGTAAGTCCTCACACATCTAATTAGATCTATTCTAGTAGATGATTTGTAACCATCTATGTAAGAATCTATGCAATTACAGCTCAGATTTTTCAATACTTTTCATCATACAAAAGGCACAGTGTAGTCACAAAACCGGCATTGCAGGGGTGCTTCTGTTTAGGAGACTCACTCCATTTCCTAGCCCTTAATGACCAGACATCCAGCCTCAGCTATTCCCCAGGTGGGCCTGGTCCCTGCAGTGTGCCTCTTCACAGCCCTCAAGCCATCTCACACTGCTGACCTTCTTTTGGAAACTCCCCATCTCCTCCCTTGGCTCCCATCACACTGAAGCTTCTGGGTGTCCTTCCTAATCCCTCTTCTGTCTCCTCTTCTTCCCCTGCACCTGCCTTCCCCTCACCAGAGGCTATGTTAGCCCCTCCCTCCCATGTCTGCTCATGCTGCTACCAATGACTGAAACCCCCCATCTTTTGGGGGGACCCTAGCCCTATATGAACATCTCCCCACTCAGAGGCCCCTTGTATTATGCTAAAAGCCTCCCTTGCTAAAGCTTGCAGTGGCTCCCACTGCCTCCAGACTAACAACTGAGCATCAAGCAGAACAGGATATATGGGAACAGGGGGAGGTGAAGAAAGCACCCCCAGGAGGGGAGGTGGAGGGCTTATCCATGCAGATGAGGTAGCCTGTGTGAAAGCTGGGAGCCCAAAAGCAAGAGGTGCCTTTTGGAAACCTTGGCTGGAGCCAGAGTTTTCAGAAACCAAACCCCAAGACAGGCTGGAGCATTTATCCCCAAACATCATGCTAAGGCTGTAGACATGACATGGAGGCCAGTGGGAGATGGTGTGAGATTTGGAAGAAGGGGATGTCCTGATCTGACTGGTGCACTTTTCAGAAAGTAACAAGAACCCTTACATGGGCTGACCCTCAATATGCACTGAATTAAGTTTCACGAAGAACTGTTTTGCCAAAAAACAAGCCACATGGGAACGTGGCACAGACAAGTGTCACTACAGCCAACACTGTCAGGGCTGGGATGCTGGCGTGCCTGAGAAAAAAACCATTCTTCCTTCTGCTTCAGGATGGCACTTTCTTGGTCCGAGACTGTTCCACGAAAACCAGGGCAGAACCCTACGTGCTGGTGGTGTTTCATGGGAACAAAGTCTACAATGTGAAAATCCGTTTCCTGGAGAAGAATCAGCAGTTTGCCCTGGGGACAGGATTGAGGGGAGATGAGGTGGGTATGACCTGACAGCTTCCCCTTCCCAGATCAAAGACAGCAAGGGGAGACTGCCGGGAATGCTGGCCAAGTCACCCATCATATCCCCATGACTGCTGGGGGAGGAGAAAAGAACACCATCCTGGAGGTGGAGACTAATTCCCTTCCAGCTCCTTCTACACACATCCCTGCCCACCTTAAACTTCAGCCCACGGGCCCCAGCCACTCCTGACCATTCCATCCCCTGTCCACGCAGATCTGCCCATCGAAGGAAAGTCATTCTGCAGGACACATCCAAATTCTGCCTCCCCGGAGGTCTCCCCTGAAGCTGAAGTTAGTGTTAACACCACATTCCTTCCCCACCCCCACGCCAAACCCCCACAGCTGGCGTTCTACACCCTACCTGCTGGCATTAGGAACACTTAGTCGTGTCTCCAAATTGAATGTGCGCTCAGTCACGGTATTCGGTGCCATGTTGGACGTGCCCGTCCTCAGTATAGACCTGCTGACAGGCAGCTTCATGAGAGAATCCATAAAAACAAAGGAGGAAGGAGACTGATTTTTGCTGAGTGTGCTTGCAGTCGGCCTGGTCTCCATATCACCTCATGTGAACCCTTGACGACTCCTTGCTACAACAATTGCTCCAACCTTAGATGTAGGGAAACTGAGGCTCAGAAAGTTATGTAAATGGCTAGAGACACAGGAGTAATGAGAGGGTGAGGAGAAGCTACTCTTTCAACTCTTCTTGAAAGGAAGGTAGGACAGAGGGATTGGAAGGGAAGGGTAGGGGTCAAGTTCTACATCACCACTTACTAAGTATGTGAGCTCAGACCAGTCACTTAATGTCTCTGGGCTTTAGTTTCTTCAAAGTGAAATGCAATGTTCTTTTCTTGTCCAGACTTCTCTAATTCAGGAATTTTCATTTAGCATCTCCAGACCTCAGTGTTATCCATTGGTCTCTATTATGTGCTGAATTGTGTCCCCCCTGACTCCTCCCAGATCCCTATGTTGAAGCCCTAACCCCTAGGACCTCCGAATAGAACTGTATTTGGAGCTAAAGTCTTTAAAGCGGGGATGAAGTCAAAATGAGGTCATGTGTATGGGCCCTAGAACAGTATGTCTGGTGTCTCTGTAAGGAGATTAGGACATAGATGTGCACAGACATAAGGTCACAGCAAGAGGACGGTGCCTACACAGCAAGAAGAGAGGCCTCAGGTAGAACCAACCCTGCCAACACCTTGATCTTGGACTTCTAGACTCCTGGACTGTTGTTCAGGTGCCCCCACCCTGCCCCATCTGCGGCCCTTTGTCATGGAGGACTGAGAAAACAAATCCAGCGTAGAACCAGAACTTCCACAACTATTCACTGTTCCTCAGTAGAGATCAAAGTGAAGAACACGGCCAGAGCTGCCAGAGCGCATCAGGAACGTGCATATGTGAGGATCCCATTAGCGGCCACGTGAAGACGGCAGCTTAAACCCAGTATCGGACCCAGAGCCCTTTCAGAGTATCGCACATAGCTGGAGAGGTGTGGTCCACACCGGCCTTTTGAAGAGCCTGGGAAAGTCTGGTCATAAATGAGAGTGTGAGTGGAGAGAGAGAGATTAATACATAAATCTGCTAAATGCAGCCACACTGAGAGAGGAAGACAGCAAAGATGAAGAGAATAGCCAATTTTCCCTTTTGTGATGAGGATTAGTGATTTAACGAATGTACCCTATTCCAAGCCAGCCTGACACTTAGCAAGCCCACGGTAGATGTGAGTTATTATGTTTTCATTCTTATTCCTGAGTCACTGTAATAACTGGGGTACAGATCCCCAGAACCAGATGCCTATGGTTAGTGAACATTCCAGTTCAGTCCCCCTCCATCCTTCCTAGCTTCTTCCAGCTCCTAGAATTTCCCATGTTCTTAAAAAAAAAAAAAAAAAAAAAAAA